TGTTGAAAAATCCGAGACCCTCTTTGTTAGGAATCAATTAGCATATACCGGAAATGGGGAGAGCCTATATAAAGTAGCAGAGAGCGCATTTTTCACTTTTTTCAGCCTGGGTCGTGCCGAATTATGCAAAGTGTAAACTTCCATTGGGTTGGACGGGGCCAGGGTTGAAAAGTCGCGAAGCGGCTTTTCAACCCTGGTTTTTATCTAAAAACAAGATTGATACATTATCGATTTTCGACCAAAAACGGGCTTTTTGACCAAAACTTCGATTCTTGAAAGTTTTTAGATAGTTTTCTTAGTCGGATTATAGTATGATTTTACTAAAAAAACTAATAAAGTAGGCAAAAGTCCGATTTTTTACGCGGAAAATTTTCAGCTTCCGTCAGCCCAGGTGCTTCGCCTCAAAGACCCACAATTCCGCAGCTTTCACACGATCAAATCAGTGATCTTTGCTGAGGATGACGTCGTGATGATGGGTAACTTTTGGCGGAAATTTTGGCATTCAATTTCTAGGTGGCGATGACTTCAACATTTACGCCTGGCAGATTCCGGACGGATTTGCCGAATTGCCACCGGTCGAAGGTATTTTAAAATACTCCAAGATTTGAGATAATTTTTAGGCCTAGAGATGTACCGAAATCTGGATAACTGCACGACGATGCTGCAGGGGCACCGGTCGATCGTCAACCACGTCCGGTACAACAAGAAAATGAAGGCGCTGGCGAGTTGCGGGATTGAGAAAATTGTCAAGGTATCGGGAAAACGTTTTTGGATGTTTTTATCTTTTCTACGTCATTTTTTTAATTTTCTCATTCAGATTTGGACACCTTACGCGACGATGGATTCGACGATCAACCCGATATTGAGAACCCCGCAAATGGTATTGTGTTATGAAAATAAATTTAAAATTAAAAAATATTTTCAGGGCGGTTTTATCGATCCCGTTGAGAACCTTGATGACAATGTGGACGAGGATCCGCAGATGCTGTCCTATTTTGATGAGATATCGAATGTGGGTTTTTCCGCGGAGAATCTTAATTCCGCTTTTTCCCGTTTTTACTTTTTTTCCTATCTTAATGCATATTTTGAAGATCTTATATGCACATATTTTAAAATTGCGAAAACTTGTCCTTTTCAGCAGACTCGCCATGAAACAATGGGCGGCTCGATGCATCGCGGTTTCCTGGACGATAGCGACGATAGCGGTCCCTTTAGCGGTATATTTTGATCCTATTTTTTTTCATAATTCTACGATTTTAGATTTTTTTTCGTAATTTAATTTTGTTGGTTGTTTTAAATCGATGATTTTCAGCCTATGTCGACCAAGTGCACTACCTCGATATCGACGACGGAATCAGCGGCGATTCTGACGACTCTGACGATTCCTCCGCATCGGAAAGCACCGGCCACCATCCCCGCCGTACCATCCAGTTCTTCTTTCAAGCCGCCAGGCGGCGATATGAGGCGCTTACCGCTGAGGAGATGGGTAAGATTTATTCGTATGGATATTTTTGAGAGTGTAGCTAGTTCATAAAGTGCTATGTTTGTACCACTTTTTCAGCAGCAGATCGCTCGGATGACGGGGCTCAGGGAGACGACGAGGCGACGGATGGCCGTAGCGACGCGGACGACATGGACGCTTCCGGGGCTGTCGCTGATGCAGAGGACAGCGAGCGTGAAGGTATTAAAGAGAATTTTGGTTAGCCGGGGGACTAATTTTTTTCGTGGTATATTTCCTGTTAATAATAAATAATTTAGCTTTATAATGTAGTTTTTATAGGTTTTTGTAATTTTGACGGCTGGAAACGTTTTTGAAAATTCTAATTTTTTTTGTTCGTTTTTGGTCCTTCTTTTGCTTTTTTCCGTTTATAGCTCTGTTAATAGCTTGAAATTTATTTTTTATAAGTTTTCGTAGTTTTTGATGCGAGAAAGTTACAAAACTGTTTTAAAATTTTTTGAAAACTCCAAAAAGCTGACCTTTTTGGCCGTGTTTCATACATTTTTAACAAAAAAAAGATAAAACTTTTTGCAAATTTTTGGAGTTTTTTATGAACTTTTTACACCGTGAAACTGGGTAAAATGCTATAGAAATGGTTTAGATTTGGTTATAGGGCCGTACAGGTTACTGCGAAAAATTAGTTTTACCTGCTGAGTGAAATCCCCCCTGCTAACAGCCCAGCACCGCATATTATTGCCTATTCGTCAATTTAGGTGGCGATGCTCCTTCGAGGGAGCCGATCACTCGCTGGCCTCCATCCCCATCGCCGTCTCCTCCTGCTGTTTGAACGGGTTTGCACATAGTTGATTGGCTTGATAATATTTTTCTGCTCTACTATTTGTTTTCGGTCCTAATCACTGACAAAGTCACCAGTACCTTGCATTTCGCCTCTATTCCCTCGACTCTCTCTGGATAAACGGGTCCAGCCAACGCTTCGAATGTGATTCGCCCCCCTTCAATGTGCAGTCGTTATTGTTTTTATCCTCAACCCCTTTTTACTCATTCCCCATTTTTTTTAGGGAATTATGTACATAAAAATATTGGAAATAAATTTACGGTTGGTCGATGTTGTGCACATATCGGTTATCAGAACCAAGTCGGGATGAAAAGGGTTTGTTTTCGAATCGATAATATTTTCCCGGTTATCGGAGGATCAAGGCCGGAACGCACACCCTCAGCGATGGCTACCCCTCGATTCGTTCTTTGCTCCCGACGACCCATCCCCGGGGTCATTCGACTATCCGCTTGACAGCTAGCTAGTGGTGAGCAATGATGTCTGTTCGTCCACTGAGCCCAAAACGGCTGTTCCTTATCGTTCGCGAACAAATTGTTTACGATTTCGGACAGATGGCCTCATTTTGCTCCAACCTAAACGAGGGCCCTGCGGCCACTAAGTAACTCTGCTAGCCTGCCCCTTGAGATTCCAATCTCCGGGGTACAGCTCACATGCCGGGGTGCAAGTCTCTGCCCCTGTTTATTTACAACTCTACTCGCAATTGGCCGTTCACTGCAGGCGACTGCTGTCTGTGTTTTCCCCCGTGCCACTATCGCTTTTTCGGGGGTCTCTCCCGTGTCTCACCAGCCTTTTCAGACCCTATTTTTCTTTCTTTCTCTCGAACTCTTTTTCTTTCTTTAAAGGGAGAGAGCTTTCCAGTTTGTTGTTCTCGGCCCTGCGCCCCCATCGCCCCGGCCGGACTGCTGACCACTGGCCGCTTTTGGGCGAACGCCAGTATCAATTGGGCCGGATTTAGATAGTTTAACGGGATTACCGAGTTCTGTCGCATTATCGAGGCAATTTTTTTGTATAATTATGTATAGTTACAGTATATTTTGTATATTTGCCTGAGACAATATAAAGTATTTTAATAATGGTTTTAGTAAAATAAAACTATATTTTTATTAGAAAAACTATCTAGAAACTTTCAAAAATAATTCCAAAAATTGACATTTTCGTCAAAAACGGTCATTTTTGTTCGAAAAACCCGATATTTTCTACTTCTTTTTTAAAGTTTTCTATTTTTAGGGATAGTAAAAAAACGTTTAGTAACACTTCCACTATTCCACGGGGAAAAGTTTTCCAGTAAAATGTAATATAAATTGAGGATGTGTTTCTGCACTGTTTTTTTACTATTCCTAAACACAAAAACTTTAAATTCTCGTACAGGGTGCGGAGAAAGTTTTCGGCGCGGCAAATAACTCCGTTACTCGAAACCTAGAGGTTTATTCAGATTTTTTGGATTCGAGGCTGGAAAGTGAAGTCTCATGCATCATATTTCACGACTGGATTACCCAAATTCAAAGATTTTACCCGATTAGAACGACCGAAACGATCATCTTAGAAACGCCCCCGGCACGCTGCTGTTTCGTTGATGTTACAGTAGCCCCCGCGAGCTATCCTTGGTCAAAAAGGCACAAAATTTTGCAGAGGTGTTGCCAAACCTGTGGTCTACCTTTCCACAAAATCTCAAGAAATTTTGCTTCAATTCGAGAGAGTTATGACACTTCTGATTTTGGTGAATTTTTGGTCGAGACGGGAAATCTCCTGCCAGTAATCCCAAAATCCGAAGAGAACGGCCTTGCTAATGGGTTTTAGCGTAAGGATATTTTTAAACGACACCCCTTAAACTAAAAAAGAAAAACGATGCTTGAAACCAGCGCTGGAAACAGGTCTTAGGCGGTGCTGAACATTCTAAAGTCTCGGCACGCTGCCGCCTTTTAGCCAAAACCCCTGAGAATTCAGCCATGTCTGTTGACAAAGCAATAATATTGATATGGAATAATGCTAAGGGGGTTGTTCTTTATAATCCGGAAACTCGGAAGCTTGGTAGTCTGCTACGGAAAATTTTAACCGCGCTTTCTATATCGACCAAATGGTGGCCAATTTCGAAACTCGCCTGCGCATCGGTGTTCCGAGCTCGGTTATTTTAGCCGAGCACTTATTAATAAAAACTTTGGCACGTGAAATCGGATGAGAATTGTCGCAATCTATCATGACACCACAAAAAATGTAGTCGAAACGCTCATCTTGACAAATCTTTTTCATAAAAGGTGCGCCGCCGAAAACTTTTTCCGCACCCTGTAGAAATACAAAATATATGGACAAAAAAATTTCTGGGCTTATCCGACCTCCATCCCGAAGTGTAGTACTTTGTAGTTTTGAATTTTCATCCAAAATCGGCATCCGGAAAATTCAAATTTACACAAAATTCGAAATTTCCATTCATACTTCTTGTTTGCTGGGCAAGACGGTTCCCGATTTCCATTCCCGCCATATACAATCGCAAACTCGTATAAACTTTGTTGGTTTTCCCGTGTTCGATATTTTGGAAATTGCTCGATTCATTCTGCAACGCAACAGCTTCCAGGATGGGCCTTCTTCGTCACCCGGGGATGATCACCTCCCGCAAGCTGATGGTCGCCTACCGCCACGCCAGCACCACCGTAAGAAGCGCGAGTTCAACAAGGTATTTGGTTACAATTTTTGTGGATGATTGTTTAATTCTTAGGTGATGGTGGCGAATCGCGGAGAAATCGCTATCCGTGTCTTCCGTGCCCTCACCGAGTTGAACAAGACCAGTGTGGCCATCTTCTCCGAGCAGGTTTGATCTTTTGGTTTTTTTCCCTAGTTCCTGATGCATGTATTTTGCTCTTTGCCCCCTCTATTTGCTACCGGGTGCGTTATCGCGCTGTTTTTGCCCTCGGGCATCGAGATATCGCCTGTCTCGTCCGGACCGGGGAATTCCTGGATATGGAAATTAGCGAGACGTAATGTGCGCAATCTGAAAACTTCCGAAAAGGGGAAATTGATGTTTTGGTTGATTTGCATTATCTCGGGGAAGGGGGGGGGGTTGGAATTTCTTTGTATAAGTTTAGAAATGTATAGTAACTTAATAGAAAGCATTTTAAAATAAAATATTTGCAATAGATAAATAAAATAGAAAGCATTCGTGTTTTTTGCAAAATAAAACTGTATTTCAACTAGAAACCTCAAAAAATCGAAATCTTGAACGAAAAACGGCCATTTTGGTCGAAAAAAATAGTTTTTGAACATTTGTAAAGGTTACGTTTCACGGCGTCTTAGGCCTTACTTGGAGCGCGCACGGGGGATCGGGAGGGACTGGGCTCAGGCCACGCCCCTTTTGGTCCCAAAATGTATGGGGAAAGAAGCTTTCAAAGGCTATAACTTTTTTTCGAAAAACAATTAGAAATGTTCCGCCTGGCGATCGATAGAGAAGACTCTAGGGAACATTTTAGTCAAAGAATTTGGGCGATCGCCGGGAAAAATAAGGACTTGAAACGTTTTGAAGCAAAAATCAAGATGATTTTCTGATTCGGCCTCCGAGCCGCCCCATCTGTTTAATTTTCTACCTGGAATTCGCTAAAGATTTGTTGTCGGTGCCTTGTGCAAAAAAAGCAAAACGGTGTCGCGTATTTATGCGAGGGAGGAATCAGACAGGACCCCGCGCCCGTCACTACGACCGCCGCCTTAGACCATTAGGCCATGCCCGTTCCCACCCCCCGTGCGCGCTCTAAGACACCGTGGTTTAGGACTATTAAAAACAGATTAGGGCTAAACTCTAGTTTTCCCCACCCAGGCGAGATAGTAGGCCTGGGGAGAGGAGCACAGGTGAAGAGATAGTAGGCCTGGGAGAGGGCGCAGAGAAAGGGCGTCTGGGGGGTAAACTAGAGTCTTACACAGATTAGAAACACGTCCGCTATGTATTTTGATTGAAAAATTGGATCCTAAAAAAAACACGAAACAGTGCGAAAACGAAACATAGAAAAGCTTGCTTTGCTTTAAGCAATGTGCACAATGAAAACTTCCGAGAAAGCGGAAATCTGTTTTTTAGGACAGCACTCGATGCATCGCCTGAAGGCCGACGAGGCCTATCTTGTCGGCAAGGTCTACCGCCAGTCGCCGCCTACCTGACGATTGACCAGATTATCGACACGGCCCTGAAGAACAACATTGACGCCATCCACCCGGGCTACGGCTTCCTGTCGGAGCGCGCCGACTTTGCGCAGGCCTGCGAGAATGCGGGCATCGTCTTCATCGGGCCGAGCCCTGACGTGATGGCTAGAATGGGGGACAAGGTATAGCCCGGGCGCGATTTTTCGCGAGTTTTTCAAAAACGTGATTCAAACGCTGTTTCCAGGTTGCTGCTCGTCAAGCTGCCATTGAATCCGGTGTCCAGGTCGTTCCCCGTACCTCTGGGCCCATCACCAAGTGGGTTATCTTCGATTTCTTGAAAGTCTCAATTTTCTACTCATGGATTCTAATCACTCTTCTGCTGTTCTTCTTCTCTTGACTGCGGCGTGCAAAGCAATAAATAAATATAACTATTTAGAGCCGAGGAGGCCGTGGAATTTGTCAAGGAACACGGCACACCCATCATCCTGAGAAGCGGCCTAGGCGGCGGCGGACGCGCTGTGCGACAGCGATCGACAAGATTGAAGAGGTCGAGGGGGCTTCCGCCGCGCCTGCTCGGAGGCTTGATCGGCGTTCAGGAGATGGCAGCCTGTTTGTCCGAGAAATTTGTCGAGCGCCCCCGCCATATCGAAGTGCAACTGCGCTAGGTAATGAAGGAATTCTTACTTGAAATAGCATATGGTTTTTCACAATTTCCATTATTTGGTTCTTTCGCGTTATCAGGGGGGGGGGCAGAGAAACATGGCCCTACAGGCGAAGTGCCTCGATTTAATAAGAAATATTTTAATAATATTTATAGTTATTAAACAAAATATCATCAGAACGGCCATTTTGGCCAATAAAAAAATCCCGATTTTGATGTAATTGGATTAAGAAAATTTGTAT